GTTGGACAACTCCGGATCAACTGCAGCATTCGGACTGCATCAACGGTCGTCCTTCTGCTCACCTCTCCCTCGCCTCCCACGCCGTCAATTAACTCTGGTTGCCATCTTCAACCACAACTACCATCCTCCCCCTCCACGGCCCCAACGTCTGCCGTTACGGTGTCAGCCATGAACATCAACACTACACACAATCCTGACACATCAGCACCACCAACGTTGACAACAGTGATGAGGGCCAGGACTACACCTGCCTTCACTGCGACTGCGCCTTCACCTCACACATCGGTCTGGCCGGTCACTTGCGGATCCATCGCACAGAGACTGGCAAACCAGCGCCTGGAGAACCAACCTACACCCGCCGCATCTTCCTCCACTGCCCTCGCAGATTCATGCATCGCATGGGCCTATTCAGCCACATGCGTATCCACGAGAGCGGAATTGGCCGCAGTCCCGACACACCCAGCACATCCAGCCCACCTACCATGCCTAGTTCCTCCCTCACTCCGTCCCCCTGTGCACTCACCGCCACCAGCTCCATTACATCCAGTGCAAACTGTACATCAATCACGCTCAGCCCAACCCACACCCTGTGACTCAGTGTGTCCACCACCACCACCACCACCACCACCACCACCACCACCACCACCACCACCACCACCACCACCACCACCACCATCATCATCATCATCATCATCATCATCATCATCATCATCATCATCATCAGCATCATCATCATCATCATCATCAGCATCATCTTCATAGCTAACATTGACAACACAGACTTCTCATGTCCACACTGTCCACGCAAATGCTCCTCACACATCGGCCTGGTCGGTCACTTGCGAATTACTCTCACAGAGACTGGCGAACCAGTGTCTGAAGAACCAACTTACACCCGCCGCAGCCGCCTCTACTGTCCAGACTGCCTTCGCACATTCATGTACCGCATGGACCTATTCGGCCCCATGCGCATTCAGGAAAACCTGCGGTCGACAACCGCCGGCTGCACCACACCACGACATTCTCCCTCGCCAGCATCTCATCAGACATCAACGTCACCCATCACATGCATCCCTTTGAGTTCTCCCGCACAAGTTAGTCTCGGTCTCCTTGCGGCTCCTGTCGCATAGGTGACTCGAGCCTGAGTCTATCCCAGTGCGTCAAGCGCCCCGGATTGGAAGGCTGCCGACTGACTCCCCAACTCACTTCACGCAGTCCATCCAGTCGTGTCTGTTGTACGGAGTGGCGGACTGGTGGGCTGCGAGTCGGGCTGAAACAGCTTCATCCACGGCACTCTAACGCATTTGAGCGGTGCGCTGCCCAACCCCGTTGTGTGTAATCCTGGTGTTTGTGTTTGGGGGTCCAGGTCCTACATGTGCCGCGCGCAGACAAGGTCACTAGATGTCAGCCACCGCGCCCATTCCTCGCTCCATTCAAATGACCGGCTCGGACAGTGGTTGAGGCATGGGAATGGAAAGGGAGAGTGAGGCCGACGACTCTGCGCATTTTCCTCCTCACTTTAAACAATCTGACGCGCTTGAAGCTATCATGATGTGCTAAAAGCCGTGACTTGGAAAGTTGCCAACTGACGAGATAACTTGGAACTCGCAATTGGCCCAGTGTTGTGTGTGCTGCTGTTGTGGAGTGGCTGGCTGGTGGTCTGAGCGTCAAGCTGCAATGGCTCCTTCTTAATGTGGCCTTTATGACACTCCCATTGAGTGAGATCCGAGCCAGGTATGGCGGCACACCTAGATACGGCTTCGGCCGTGCCAGCCTCCAGTCTCTTTGTCGTTGGTCAAAAACCTGGTTATTTGTTGTGTGGATCGCGAGTGCAGTGGCACGCCTGGGTGCGGGTCCGGCCGAGTCAGCCGCCTGCGCCCTTCCCAGTCTCCGGTATTCTTGACCCTGTCTTGACACGGGATCCACACGGGGAAGAGAGCGTGCTGTAGATGCTGCGAAAGTCTACTATCATTATAAACTAACTTTCGAACAAGTCACCGTCGCCGCTCCTACCCTGCTGTGGAGCATACGGTGGACATCGTCGGATGCGACGGCCGAACTATCGTGTGTGCGTCTATGTGTGTTTAGAAGGCCTGGAAGCGTGTGCCATGTCAGTATCAGCAAATCATGGCCATCGCAGCCTGGTACGCACTGGCAGTTCACTAGCGCCTGGTTCCCTGCCGGTAGATGCGCGTGCACTCCCACTGGGTATACAGGTGGTGGGGATGGTTGCCCAGTCATCTTAGTCCTTCTGACCCTTGTTGGGCTGTAGTTGTTGTTGTTTTTGCTAGTGAAAAAAATCCTGGTCATTTGCCGTGTGGATCGGCGGGTGTGGTGGCATGCCTGGGTGCCGGTCCGGCCGTGCCGGTCACCTCCGCCTGCCCGGCCTCTGATCTCCTTGCCTCTGTCTTGACACCGGCTCCAGGAGGGGAGGAGGAGGGGGTGCGGCAGATGCTGCGCAAGTCTACTGCCGCTATAAGCTAAATTACGCACAAGTCACCGTGCCTGCTTCGCCTTGCCGTGAAGCACACGGTGGACATCGTCGTCAACGGCGGTTGAACTATCTTGTGTAAAATAACTAGTGAATTGTATGAAATCCTGATCAAAATTCTTAAATACGTTGTTGGTTAGAAATTATTATTTATATATGTTTATAAGATTGGTTATTGTGCAGCACAGTGTCAAAACACCTCAGTCTTGCCAGGATGCTGACTTTTGAATGTCCTCTTTTCCGATCACCTGCGAAAACCACATTTCAGTTAAAAGGACAGCCTACTTGGTGTTAATTCTTCCTGAATTTCGATGTCCTTATTAATTCGAACATTCTTGCGCAAAAACAGTATTATCAAAAGAAGAAGATGCGTTCACCGGGAGGGGTTTGTTGGAGGTCCGACGTTTCGAGTTGCTGATTCGTCTACGCACCTTCAGAGGCTGGAAAGGCCTGCGCACAGCTCCCCTTATATGGCGCACTCTGTTCAATACGTGACCCGCCAATGCCGCCCGTGTGGCTGCATCCAACCCGCATATCACCGTGACAGAGTCGCCCCCGTCGGCCGCGGAGATGACTGACGACCCGTGACGGTCACAGTGACATGCGGGTTGGAGGCAGCCACACAGGCGATTAGTCTAAAAATTCGCAATGAATAACCGACTCCAGTTAAAATAACAGATACCTGCTTGGGGTCTCAAAATGAACGGAAGATCCTGGCAAATAAATTTGAAATAACCGTCTTGGTCCTGAAATCAGGAAAGATAAACTAACGCCGCCGGTCTTGCCGGTTGCCCCGAATGCACAAGATTTTCTCCATCTTCCCCGAAGATGGCATTTGAATTTCTCTGTTAGATTAACGTTTACTTTTTCAGGCTGTTTTATGCTATATTTTTTGCTACTTCGCAGGTCACTTTACCGATTTATGCGTTTGGAACTTAGTGAATGCCTCTAAAAGAATTCCTAAACGTTGTTAGGCGTATTACGGAGAATGAGCACTATTAGTCTTCAGGCCAATTTGATTGTTATGAATCAAGACAAAACCCAGCTCAGCACTCAAGAGAAACGTAAGTGCGCTTCCGGTGGTATGATTAACTGGACATCATCCCGAAGACCGTTGAATTACAGTATTTGGTGTCTAAGTGCAGTACGTGACCTATCTCGTGAAACCTGATAACGGAAATTGATGCGAGAATTTCTGGACGTCTTCAACGTTGCGCATTTTGTTCGCTTATTCACTTAATTCAATAAGATATCCTTTTCTTGTGCAAATATATGTTTACGCAATTATTTCAAGGAAAATATCAATAAATTCTAACGAAGATGGACGCTGCAATATATTCGTGAAATTTCCTATGCTAATACATGCCCTAGACTCCGATTACGCATTTGAGCGAGTTCTTGATTGAACGGAAAGTAATTTACCCGCGAGAGTTTTAATAAACAAATTTAGCCGGACTTGGAAAGTTATTTTATGTCCGATGCTAACCGTAGTACTCAACTTGCTAACACAATGGTCATTTTGAGAAAACCAGAGATTTTATCAAGTCCTAAAAGGGATATTAGCGGATCTGGGTGATTTCTTGCCCTAAAGTGCAATAATAATGCAGACAGCGATTCCTTCGTTCAAATGGGTTAAAATTGTTTTGCTGTTTTGAAAATTCTACCTGATGTTACAAAAATTACCACCACCGAACGGTCATTTTCAGTTTTGCACATATGAAACACTACTTGTCGTGTAGTTTAGCTTCTGCACCTACCTTATTCAGAAGTCGAACAAGCAAAATACTAATAGTTTCAGCAAAATATCAGTATTTATGTGGGCGTTCTGCCGTGCATTCATAATCGAAGAACGGAGTCTAAAAGCGAGAAAAAACAGTGGAGATGACCTCAGTGTATAGAGAAATGCATGTTCTTAGGTTTACGGTAAAAAAACAATTAGTATTGTTTAAGAACGGGAAAGAAATGGCCAAAAGTCTCAAATTTTTTCTTGACCTAACCATGCAAAATTGCAAAGTACACAGAGATCCGTCAACGGAGTACAGTATTAAAACCCTTCTTTGAGAGGGAACTTATTAAGTAAAGTTTTCTTAATGATCTAAGGCATGTTTTTGGCTTTCGTTGTGGACAGCCATTTTTGAAAATAAAGCTTCATGTTTAAATGAGTTTTTAAATGCGACCCAAACGACCTTTTTTATGAAAAGGAGCGCCAAAACCCTCGCTACTTCAATAATTTTTTTCGAAATTATCTTCTTCTAGAGTTTTTAACAGACAGGTAATTCAGAATCTGTCTTTGTGTATGACCGGGTGAAAGCCCTGAAAATCATGAAGTATTCAACAATATTTCAAGACCAATTTAAAACTCCGCGTTTGCCAAAATGAACGAAAAGTGCAAATTAAGTTAACGGAAGAAAAGTTTTCTCTATAAACACAAAATGGTGTGTTTATGATGACGCCTGTCAGTTTTATTTAAATTTATTAGGTCCCGATCAGCCTGGCAGCGTGTCGTCTTATGAAAACTTTTGTTCCTACAACGTCTCCATTGGTGAAATCATGCAAAAATTCCGTTTCTCCTATTGAACCCTATCTCATTTAACTCAAACAAGTTAAGAGTACCACGAATTCCTGCAAAACTGTTTGGAAATCTATACTCGGGATGTAGGCTGTTGACAAATATATTCACATCAAATTTCGGACCGTGCCTGAAAAGGCCTGTTTCGAAAGAGTTACTCCAAGTTCGCGCATTAAGTAAGGCATGTTGACAAACCGCCATGTATGAAATTACACTAATTCTTAAACGATATTTAGATGTAAACGTCAATGAAACACTATTATTAAATTTCATTTTATTTGTACTTTCAAATTTTCTACGTTTTTAGTATAAGAATACATCCACTACATCTAAAAACGAAGTTTACTAAATTGCGGCCATTTTTGGCGCTTTCGGGATATTGCGATTTTCCAAAAACTTCGGCATTTCTAAACAACGCAACACTGTCTTTTATGTTTTTAATTCTTTTAAACTTGTACATAATTAACATAGACATTGGATTCATCAAATGGTGTCCTGTTGCGAGCGATTGGCACTCATTCGTAAATTTTGACACCTTTCATGAGTCAGGTTATGCACTGTACGTTGGCCAAAGGATCAGTACGAAAACAAAATTACAATCACTCCTCTGTACGCATTTACTGACGGCCACTGTATTCGTACTTTTTAAAGAACTCAAATATCAGACTAGGTCGTTATGCTGACCGTCAAATGTGTGAAGTCGAATGTGTACTTCTTTAAAGTGGTGATGGAAGTATTCTGAATATAGTGGAGTACCGCTTGGCTGGAAACAGCAAATAAAATAGATATTTCATCTACGTATCTTTCTTTATGTACTTCAGTCTTCTTTTCCTAAATTTATTTCGATATTACCTATTTTTAGACGTCCATAAAGAC